CTGACAACAACTAATGTCTAGTATTGATTTTTGGTTGGTCAATTAAGTTTGTCTGTTAGAAACTGCCTTACGTGGGCGACTTCAAAAATTTTTAAGAATTACTCACGCACGTAAATATGGGTAGTTTTTTTTTTTTCAATTTTACTATCGTTCTAATTGATTTGATACTAACTGCCATGACCATGTCTATCCATGTGTGTACCTAGCGGAAACGGTTTTGGAAAATTTTGTTTGCTTTTATTGTCTTACGATCTATTTATTAAGTATAGGAGAACAATTTTGTTCATGATGTCATGAGGAAGAACAAAAAAAATTGAAAAAAACCTCTGAAGTATTAATTATATTACAGAATTTTCTTTACAAGTTTCGAACTATCATTTCCTAAATCAATTTTAAAGGGGCGTTCATAGTATGGATTGATTTCAAAGTTTCGGTCAGTCCGAACTTTCAATACCCTCCACCATTAGGCATAAAAACAATTTTAAATAAAAGTATATGTATTCAAACGTGTTTCACTTTAATCTGCTTATACCAGTGAGATCGGTTGAAGAATGCAGTTAGAGTTTTAAAATACCTTACTAACATAAATACCAAATACCAAGTACCATGAAGATCTTCGACCAATATGGATGATTTTTTTACATTGGCTTTAGGACCTATTATGAACTACAATTACCGAAACCCTATAGAAAATATGGCTAAATGGCCTATATACCGAATATCTGCAGGTACCGTTATATGCGGTAGGTAAGAAAACCTGGATCCCAAAATCATGAAAAAATGTGGCTAAAATGACCAAAATACATCGGAATGTACGATATATGGGCGCTGTGTAAAAACGTGGACTTATATATACAATATTCTGCCGCTGGAGCTACACCCATTAGGAGCTACAAATACAAAATTTTAGACAATTCCGTTAGAAAATGTGAGATAAATCGTCAAAATACCGAAAAACCGAAGGTATGTTTGTATGGGTTCTATAGTTAAACCTGGACCTATACGGTCAATGTTTATCCATCAGAGGAAGAACCCATTATACACTCTTAGTACCAATAGAAGTACAATTATAAGATATGTTACAAACGGAATGACAAATTTAATATGCCCTCCTTTTAAAAAATATACAACTGCCAAGTAAAGGACACAACGGCATTTATTGCTGTAATAAATGCCGTTTTTTGAAAAAAAAAAAAAATCCAATTCTACGAGCTATATATTTTTAAATGAAAACAGTCGGAAGTTTCTTTTTCTTTTTGTGAGTTTCCGTTTTTTAAATTATTCGAGATTTTTTTCATATTCAGAAACCAGTTATTGTTGCTTTCAACCAACTAGAACAAATCAAATACAATTTGGTTATTTCATTAGGTAGCACTTCTTAACCTCAAACAAAAATGGAACGACTACAAAATCTGTTATAAATAACGCAGTTATGTGTGAAAGCAAACAATATTATGTTTTCAAAAAATCTTGATTGGGCCAAATTGTTTGTTACACCTCGAGGATATCGATCTAACCAAGCTGAGTCGATCTAGCTATGTGTGTTCGTTTGTCTCTCCATGTTAATTTATAACATGGTCCGTTTGGACCATAAAGTTGGTGAGGCCGTTATACGGGGGCCATGCCAAAACGGGGCCCTATATAAGTAATTTTATACTTCAAGGATTATCATCTACCAAATCTTCTTAAATACCACATTTGAAAAAATTTCTTGGGTAAATGTGCCTAGGACTATCAAAATATCGAATATCTCGGTGGTTATCGTATAATGTACGTTATAGGAAAAGATGGACCTATACATACATTGTTTCGCCATCGGAACTAGAACGCATTATGATCAACAAATACCAATTTTTACAGAAATCCTTGAAAAAATGTAGCAAAAATCATCAAAATACCGAATATCGGGAGGAGCCGTTGTATGGGGGCTATACCAAAACGTGGACCTATAAATACATTATTTCGCCACCGGAGCTAGAACCCATTATGACCTACAACGAATTCGCCACATTTTTTATATGGTGTGTATAGCCAAACGTGGACCTATACATACTTTACAAATCTGTAAAAAAATGTGGCAAAAATAACCATACAACGAAAATATGTATGGTCACGTGGGTGCGAAAAAAATAGCCTTTTGCATGGCTATATGACATGGTTTCATGAGCCATTCCCAAACATGAGGTACAAAAAACTGTCATTATGCATGGAAAATATTGGCTGCAGATTTATCAGGATTATTTGAAATGAGGATCTAATAATCGCGTCTGCTCTCAAATTGGAATTGAATACATCAGTTATAAATTCTACAAATCGAAAGAACAAATCTTGATATTTCGAAGGAATTCTAAAGTAGTTTGTTGAGGATTTGGTTCATTTTATTCCAAAAGAATCACATCTGCAAAAACGTTACTGTAAATTATATTGTTAAAGAATATTACGGCCACGCCCGATTGTAGCCTTTGCTTATATTTTATTTAATATCCAAGACTAAACCTTTAATCTTCTAGGTCAAACACGGAATTTACTTTTTTCTATTCGTTGTACGCCCGCTCTCTATTCAGTTCAAGCCTTTATTTATACCCTACACCACAAGGTGGTCAGGGTATTATGTCTTTGTGCATTTGTTTGTAACAGGCAAAAGGAAACGAAATAGACCCATAGTTCCTTTTGATGATCTGCATAGAATCACATTCTGAGTCGATTTATGCATGTCCGTCCGTCCATGTATTTTTGTAAACAAAGTACAGGTCGCATTTATTGCCCGATCCAGATGAAATTTTGCACAGATCATTTGTTCGGCCGAATAGTATGGAATTTTGCACAAATCATTTGTTTGGCCAAGGACGAACCCTATTGAAATTGGAGATAATCGGTCAAAATTTAGATATAGCACCCATATACATATTCGTCCGATTTGTTTTATTGTGCACCAAACGTGTAATATCAGTCCGAATAGTATGGAATTTCGCACAAATCATTTGTTTGGCCTAAGGACGAACCCTATTGAAATTGGAGATAATCGGTCAAAATTTAGATATAGCTCCCATATATATCTTCGTCCGATTTGCCTTTTATTGTGCACCAAACGTGTAATATCAGTCCGAATAGTATGGAATTTTGCACAAATCATTTGTGCAAAATTCCAAGGACGAACCCTATTGAAATTGGAGATAATCGGTCAAAATTTAGATATAGCTCCCATATATATCTTCGTCCGATTTGTCTTTTATTGTGCACCAAACGTGTAATATCAGTCCGAATAGTATGGAATTTCGCACGTACGATCAGATTGGACCTCAAAATAAGTATGCCAAATTTCATCGAAATCGGTTCAGATATAGTTATAGCTCCCATATATATTGTTCATCCGATTTGTTATTTTTGTCCTCCGCAGCCGTAATATGCACTCTGTAACAACAATATTTGGTGAAATTTATCAAATACAGCTCAGAAATACATTTGCTAAATTTTATAGAGATCGGTTCAGATTTGGATTTAGCTCCCACATATAACTTCGTCCGATTTACATTGGATTGTGCACCAAACGTCTAATATTTGCCCAAATTGGATGAAATTTGGCACTTACGACCGAATTGAGTCTAGAAGCTAGTATGTCAAATTTAGTGAAGATCGGTTCAGATATAGCTATAGCTCCCATATATACTGTTCATCCGATTTGTCATATTTGTTACCCACAGCCGTAATATGCACTCCGTAACAACGATATTCAGGGAAATGTATCAAATAGAGCTCAGAAATATCTTTGCCAAATTTTATCGAGATCGGTTCAAATTTGGATATAGCTCCCATATATATTTTTATCCGATTTCAGATTAATTGTGCACCAAATGGGCAATACAACTCCGAATTTAAAAGATACAAATGCTTCGGCATATTTAGTTCTATGAACTTTAAATTATAATAATAATCATAGCGTGTATGATTGAATTCTCCCATAAAAACTTTTAATTGTTATGCGCAGCTCAACTATATTAGCAAAGTGGTGTAGGGTATCATAAAGTCGGCCCCGCCCGACTTTAAGACTTTCTTTACTGGTTTTAAATAATCTACTTAATCCGTCACATTACATTTTCTGGGGGAACAACAATTTTTGACGTTTGTTCCACTCGAATCACTCTCAGAATTACAATCAAACATGTGTCATCCCAAAAGGAGACATTTATCGAAAAAGACTGGAAATTATACAAATTTTCAGGAAATCATGAATGAAAAGTATAATTTTGAATAGCGCACCGTCCAAATAAAGTGAATGTCCACGAGTTGGAATTTTCTAGGAAACCTGGAATCAAACGTTATGGTACCCTGCACAATTATGCATTTTTAAAAGAGCTAGCTAGCTATCAGACCTCTGAAAAACTCTCTCAAATTCTTATAAAGAGTGAAACTCGTTTGAAGTCGAGCGGGAGCTGCTGGGAGTAGAAAAAACAAAACGAGCTAAACTCGAGCTGATTCTAAATCTGGTTCGGAGCTATATATTTGGGCCAAACAAATGAACTGCACAAAATGTCATCTCAATTGGGCAACTTATGTACAAAATGCATGGATAAACAGACGAACGAATATGCATAAATCGACTCAGAATAGAGATCTTTAAAAGGAAAAGAAGCAAACAAATGCACAAAAACTAAAATGGTCAGATACTCGCTAAACTACGCAATGGAATAATTAAAATTCACTGTAAAATTGTTTCAAGGAATCAGCTTGAATTATGAGAACCATTTTCACATCGGCGACAATGTCAAAATTGTACATAACTCTCAACAAACTTTATATACTTTGTGGGGTCTAATATTTATATTTCGAGGTGTTACAAATGGAATGAAAAAACTTTGCATACCCTTCTTTGCGATAATTTGAGAAAACCGAATGAGGAATATCCGAATTCAAAAACACGACTACTAAGCGATAATTTCCAGACAGTTGTAATATATTCTTTATGAATGTATTATTTTCTATTAAATTCCATTGTAACTTACCTTATCTTGAGTAGATTCATCAACGCCACTGTCATTGTCACCTTCTGGAAAATAGAAACAGCAAATATTATTTTCAATAAATTTTTAAAGATGGATGTTCAAATTATTAAAAATCGTAAGAAATGGCTTTGTATTACATAGATGGGAGGCTAATAATTAACTTAGGTCTTACTCGATATTGAACCTGGTACTTCCCCACTTATGGATTTCGACATACTGCTATCATTCATGTAGGAATCGGGTGAAACTAATGACAGATCACTGTTCTTCGCCATGGAGACTGGTGAATCGTCTTTGTAGGCGGCGTCTTCATCGGCTTCGTTTAACGCCGGACCCATGGGATCATTTTTAAGTGGAACTGTTTTTTGTGGGGTGATTGCCTGACCCATTATCACATCATCATCGTCGTTGGTCGATAGAGAGGAAGGTGGTCTTTGTGGCTGTTGTTGTGCTGGTTGTGGCTGTTGTTGTGGTCCAGAAGGCCGTGTTTGAGGTTGTTGTGGTGGGCCACCCGGAGCTCCTGGCGGACGATTAAATGGCGGTCGTGTAGCAGCTTGATTACCAGGAAAGGGGTTTGGTGGTCTTGTAGATGATTGTGGTTGCCCAGGCACCTGGGGTGGCCATGGAAAAGCACCTTGTGGTCGTGGCCCACCCTGACCCGTTGGACTCTGTGGACCCCCACCAGTGTTTGGGGCCGGTGGTGGCGGTCTAGTTTGTGGATTCTGTGGTGGGCCACCAGGTCTTGGTGGTGATGGTACACCAGGACTTCCCATTAATAGGTTTCCTCGGCTATCCATTGTACGTAGGGGTGGTGGACCACCCGGACGTACACCGGCACCTGGGCCTGCGCCTGGCATTGGTGGACCACCGGGTCGAGGACCACCCATCGGTCTGGGTGGCATTCCTCCTGGAAATGGTGGTCTTGGTGGTCCAGCAGGTCTCATCTGTGTTAAGAGAGGAGGTCTTGTGTTATTTCTTTCCATTTTCTAAACGTCGAGTATCAAACTTCTGTTGCAAGTGATTGCAGTTTTGTGGGTGAATGGAAGCTTTTCGTTAAGCCGCCTACCTGATAAAGGTGCAATAACTCAAGGGTGCATGTAAACCAAAACTTTGAAAACTTCCAGATTAATTTGCAACTTAATGGACATTTTGATGGTTGTCAAAGCAGAACCGTTAATTTGCATAGCAGTGAAAAAAACGAAATTGTTTTCTATTGATAACGAAACGAATACAGTGAAACTTGAATAAAAAGAATAACATTTTTTGAGATGACAGCTACACAACAATATTGTTATTTAACATAGCCGTTATATGGGATAAAGTAATGATTCCCAAGAGGTTCTCTTTAACCATGCTCCACTGTTATCCACACCATATCCTTTTACGGTTAAAGCATTTTTGTCATGAAATCAGTTTACCATTGTAACATGACCCGAATTGTCATGAAAATTTGTTTAGTTGTTGTTTTATTGTCCCGCAAAAATATAATTTGCACTGCCAATAAATTATTGATTCAACAAAATTCGCTCAATATGTGGCATATTTATTTGTGTATTTTTTTTATTGTGCAGCAACTTATTTTCCCCCGCTTATTTAGATGTGGTTATTCAAACCACAAACTTTACCAATAAAAAGTTATGTTTTTTTTTTTTTTTTTTGTTTATGACAAGGGAAATATTAGATTTCTATAGTCAGAAAAAGTCCACAAAAAGGGTTAGATTCACTTGGTGCTTGGCAAGTACTGAACGATGGAGTGACAGTTATTGGAGGATAGAGAAATATTCCAATGTTTATTTGAAAAATAAACCGATAATGGAGGAACTTATCGACAGAATAAATGAATAACTCTCTCCACTAGTTCTATCGTTTTATAAAGGATCCCGTTTTGGTTAAAAAATACAAATTATCTAAAAATCACAGTTGGACAATTTATGATCTATGCAATCAAAGCAGTCTAACATCCCTTATAAAATATTCAGAATTTCATTTTTTTTTATACCCTCCACCTTGGAAAGGAGGGTATATTAACTTTGTCATTCCGTTTGTAACATCCTTAAATATTCGTCGTAGACCCCATAAAGTATATATATTCATAATCAGCATAAAATTCTAAGTCGATTTAACGATGTCCGTCTGTCTGTCTGTCCGTCTGTCTGTCTGTCTGTTGAAATCACGATACAGCCCACATTATTTGACGTAGAGCGCCAACATTTAGCAGAGCAATTGGTATTGTGTCTAGGATTAGTATTGTAAATGAGATATATCGGTCCGCGTTCTGGTATAGTCCCCATATAACGGTACCTCCCGATATTCGGTATTTTGATGATTTATGCCACATTATTTAACGGATTTGTCTGAAAATTGGTATTTGTAGGTCATAACGGGTCCCTGTATGTGTGGCAAAACATAGCATGTATAGGTCCACGTTTTGGTATAGCCTTCATATAATGGTACCTCCCGATATTCGATATTTTGATTATTTTTGCCACAGTTTTTAACGGATTTGTCTAAAAATTGGTATTTGTTGGTCATAATGAGTTCCAGCTCCGGTGGCGAAACATTGCATGTATGGGTCCATGATTTGGTATAGCCCCCATATAACGGTACCTCCCGATATTCGGTATTTTGATGGTTTTTGCAACATTTTTTCACTGATTTGTGTAAAAATTGGTATTTGTGAGTCATAATGGGTCCTAGTTCGTGTGGCTAAACATTGTATGTATAGGTCCACGTTTTGGTATAGTCCCCATATAACGGTAGCTCTCAATATTCGGTATTTTGATGATTTTTGACTGATTTTTTCACGAATTTCACTGAAAATTTGGTAGTTGTAGATCATAATGGGTCCCAGTTCGTGTGACGAGTCATTGTAATTATAGGTCCACGTTTTGGTATAGCCCCCATATAACGGTACCTCCCGATATTCGGTAATTTGATGATTTTTGCCCCTTTTTTCACGTATTTGTCTGAAAATTGGTATTTGTAGGTCATAATGGGTTCTAGCTCCGTTGGCGGAACCTTGCATGTGTAGGTCCACGATTTGGTAGAGCCCCCATATAACGGTACCTCCCGATATTCGGCATTTTAATGGTTTTTGCCACATTTCTTCTAATGTTTCCTTTACCCTAAGGTGGAGGGTATTAAAAGTTTGGCCCGGCCGAACTTAATGTTTTTTTACTTGTTTTGGTTTCATATTTATTTATTTAGTGATTCAAAGGATCTGGATTGGCCATAAGCTAGAGAATATTTGCATAATCTGCTATATACATGACAATAAACAAGGATAATGAATTCCATCCATTAAAACTTGTATTAATTAAGAAAAGGATTTTAACCTATCTGCTATAGAAACTGTATAGTACTGCTAAGGGGCAAATCGTCTTTAAGCCGGCGAGTGGTCTTTATCAAATCAATTAAAAATACAGTTAAGTTCGACCGGAGAAATCGGAAATTGGCATTATATGAGATAATGGCATCAGTAAGGAAAGGACAAAAGTTGAAAATGGCAGAATATTCCATAGCTTATGTCATGGTACAAAAAAAAAGATAAGGTAAAGCTACCAGCTGATAACAATTTCTTTCTAAGTGTACCCGCATGGTTGAATAATACAGGTAATAGTAAGTGTTGTTGTACAATAAATGTAACAACAACTACATACAAATTTGTTTATGTAAGTAATACAAGTGTTAGAAAACATGAAATATGTCATTGTTCCTTAACCGCCAAAAAAGTTTGCGCATCATCGCGGCTGGAGTGTTTTTATACCCTCCAACATAGCATGGAGGGTATTTCAAGTTTGTCATTCCATTTGTAACACCCCGAAACATACATTTTCAACCCACAAAGTACATATATTCTTGATCAGCATAAAATTATATGTCGATTTAGCGATGTCCGTTCGTCTGTCCGTCTATCCGTCTGTTCGTCTGTGAAAATAACTCTAGCTTCCGAACGAAATGAAGTAGATTGATAAAATTTTACTCAAATGTATATTATATCTGCAGGACTTTTGGTATTGAAAATGGATCATGTAGGTCTACGGTTTGGTATAGCCCCCATATAACGGTACTTTCCTATTTTCGGTATTTTGTTGACTTAAGCGACATTATTCAACAGAAGTGTTTGGTATTTGAAGTTCGTAGTGGATACTACAGCCTATGACAGAAAATTGTCACGCCTTCGCTTAGCCCCCGTATAACGGCACCTCCGTTATTCGGTATTTTGATGATTTTAGCGACATTATTAACCGGAATTGTTTCAAATTTGGTATTTGAAGTAAGTAATTGATACTACGGCTTAAGACAGCTAATTTTCTGTGCAGGTCCACGTCTTCGTATAGCCCCCATATTAGCTACAGTATTCAGCGAATTTTTTTCAAGTTTCGCATTTGAACATTGCAATGTTTTATAACAAAAGCTGCCTATAGACTTAGACATTCGGTATTTTTAAGATTTTAACAGAATTTTTTTTAATTGTCAAATACGTTTCAAATGGTGGAGGGTATTCAAAGATTGGCCCGGCCGAATTTACAGCTTTTTTTACATGTTTCCATAATTATACCCTACAACACTATGTGTTGGGGGTATTATAAGTTTGATTGGGCCAAAAATTATGTAACACCTCGAAATATTGATTTCCCATATAGGAAAGTATATATGGATCTTCCTATCTCGCCGAGATGAGTCGATCTAGCTATGTATGTCCGTCCATCCGTCTGTCCGTCTGTCCGTCTGTCCATGTTAATTTGTAATCACTCTACAGGTCGCAATTATGGTCCGATCTTCACGAAATTTAGAATGTAGGTGGGGCTTGGACCAGAATAGAACCCTATTTCTTTTGGAGATGATCGCTAAATGTTTAGGGGTTGAAATGGACCAAATACTGAAAAAATGTCGGATTTTGCAGTAGCTATACAGGTCGCAGTTATAGACCAATCGACGTGGAACTTCGCATGTAGCTAGAATTTAGGGCGGGGAAGAAGCCTACCAATTTGGGTGGTCATCGGATAATATTTAGCGGGTAAAATAGACCATATCTTTTGTGTTGAAAAAATTCAACATTTTTCATTAAACCGCGAATATTTTAAATCCCGGGGAAATCACAAAGCCATGACAAGGTTACTTCTGATCTTTACATTGATGTTAATATCCAACAAATCGGATATATAGCAAAATATGTGCGATATATATGTCTATCAAAGAAGATATGCTTGAAAGATATCTTATATGTCGAGAACGGCTGAACTGATTTCGACAGTTCTCATTAATTCAGAATGGCCTCTTGGCAGGAAAGAAAAAACGTCTAAAAAAATCGCATAAAAATATCTCTCTAAAAATGAAAATATTGATTTTGTAAAATGTTCTCATATTTTTTTTTTAATTTTGTCACTTTTTTGGCATATTTTCATTTTGAATTAAACATTTGGTAATATTTCAACAGCTAACAAAACTAAGTAGTTAGGATATCAGGATATCATATAAAGATCGCATTTATGGCCCGATCCTAACGAAATTTTGCATGGGGATCAGATGAGGGTCAGAGTAGAAGCCTACTCTTTTTGGAGATGATCGCCATATATTTAGGAGTTGAAATGGACCAAAAAAACTGCAAAATTCTCAGCATGTCGTAATTATTGCCCGATCCTCACGCACATTTGAATGGGGGTTACCGGACATTGCAAAAGCCAAGCAGTTTTGGATGGCCATCCAAAAATATTCAATGTGTGAAATAGTTTGCCAACTTTTGTAGACAAAATACGAAAATGACCATTCCAGTGATTTTTTGGAGAATTCACAAATACAGGAAAGACGCACTTCTGACTATTTCGTTAACGCTGATTTCGTTGAAGAATATAGTCAAATTTCTGTATCTCATATAGATGCGTTTCAGCCAAAAACCAATAATAAATGTTAATCTTTTGCCACTTCTGAAATATTATAGGTCTTTGGGAAAAATTGGTTCCAGATCTAGGAAGACCATTTACGTGCAACATCTTCC